AGTTGGAGCTTGGGCTAAAGTACTATCTGTACTGATCTGGGGGATGCTGGGAGACTTCAGCCCAATTATATATCTTCTCTATCCCAAGGTGGGTGACCATTTCTGTGACAAGCAGATTAGTATCGTGGTTAAAAATCTGGGATTTCAAGTCAGACAGACATGGGGTTTAATCTTGTTTTGGTAACTTTTTAAGTTGTATGACCTTAGGATATGTAACCTCTGTTTTTCTTGTGGGTGGAATAAGGATAACAAAACCAACTTCATAGGATTGTGGTAATAACTAAATGTGACAATTGACATAAGCTGCTTAGCTCAGCACCCAGCATATAGAGTCAGCGATGAGGATTACTGTTAGTGAGCTCTCCCTCAAGGGTGGGCTGAGGGAGTTCCCAATTGCCTGATGTGAGCAAAGCCTTTGTATTAGCTGTCTATGTCTGGGTAACAAATTACTGCAAAATTTATCATTGTCTCACACAGTTTCTGAGGATCAGGAATCTAGAAGCAGCTTAGTTGGGTAGTTCTGGCTCAGGGTGTCCCAGAGGTTTCAGTCAAGCCATCAGCTGGCGCTAGAGTCATCTGAAGGCTTGATCAGATCTGAGGGATCAGCTTCCAATCACACTCAGAAGGCTGTTGGCAGAAGGCGTTAGTTAGTTCCTTACCACGTGTGCGTTTCAGTAGGACTGCTCAAAACATGCCAGCTGACTCTTCCCAGAGAGAAAGCAACTGTGACCAAGATGGAAGCCACAAGCTCTTTTATAACCTAATTTAAAAAGTGACATACCTTAGCTTCTGCCATATTCTATTGGTTGCACACACCAAACCTGTACAGTATGGGAGGGGACTGCACAAGTGTGTGAATACCAGGAGGCAGAGATCACTGGGGGTTATCTCAGAGGCTGGATACCACCACCTTTAAATGGTTTTCCTAAGCAATGCCACAGATGCTCTTTTTTTTTTGGCTTTAATTTTAGAGTTGAGAGGCTTTGAAATGATTATAGTGTTTTATAATCTACCAGCAAATGAAAGGCATCCAAGCCTCGAGATAAATGTCTGAGTGGGGTCTGCTAGCCACTTGAAAAGCATGTGTCTCCACATACCAAAGAAATCCACAGCTGACTTTAGTAAAATCTTGACTGTTAAATATTCCAGCTCTGTACTTTCACAAAGTGCAAAGGACAGAAGTTGTCTCTCTATATTAACAAGTAAGAATGGTTAGCGGATAAGGCATGGTTTACAAGTCTGTATTTATGATTGGGGTCTGGCTGAAAAACAGCAAGAATAAACCATACAACCTGGGAAGTCTAATTCCAGCAGGAAGTTGCTTTGAAATAACATCATACTTCATTCACTCCCCAACTGATGTCTTTGACGACCAGTTTGGACACATCAATAAAACGTCCTGTCACTTACCATATTTTATTTTCTTGCAGCATTTCCCACTGTTGGATGGTAACTCTAACAGTGCCTGTTCTTACAGCAGAATCCACGCTCTGATTTAGATTTGCCAAGTAGATTGCTTTTAGCTAAATTTCTTGTCCAAGCACAGGTCCTTATGGTTCGAGAGTTCCCATTAAAAGATCCCTAAAGAAAAATATACAGCTTTACTGGCTTGGATTTGTAGCTCCAAAATTTAAAAGAAAGCGGCTGGTTAACATTATAGACATTTTGAAGTACTTGTCTTTCAGAAATGCAAAAAACAATAGCAAGAAAAGCCTTTGATGGCTCAGAATTTATTTTATTTTATGTACTTATTAATTGGTACACTTTCTCCCCCATTTTAACCAAAGATCCTGTACATTGAAACAATAAAATAAGTAAAGACATGTGTCTGCTTTAAAATCTCGAAATTGGTTAAGTCTCATAGTCCTCTTCCATGCTTTCTGGGTAGAGGCTCTTTCTGTTCTCTCAGCCCTGCAGCACTTTGATCTCAGAAGCAGTGCCATTTGGTTGTAAATGTATGTGGCGCCTTTGATCTAGTACTTAGCTGGTCTTATTTAAAATAGATAGCTTCTTTTATCTAAGTAGTGTTTACTAGGTCTCTCTCTATGAAAGATGGTTTAAATTGCTATTATTTAGATAGAAAGTTATATAAAGTTTCTTAAGAGTGCCCAGATCTGAATCTAATTCTCTAAATTCTAAAACCCCAATGGCATTATTATAGATTACATACAGCAAATTCCTGTTAAAATGAGCTGCTTTTACAGATGTCAGGTAATATTTGCAAAAACTTTGTTTGCTTTTTAACAGGGAACTGATTTTCCAAAGAATAAGAAACATATCCTACACTCAGGCAAAAATAGTACTCTCAGAGTGTCTGAACTTGATGGCCAATTTTCCCTCTGAAATTCACATATTAGTATATTTTTATGTTACTGGGTTATGAATACTATAAAGTGTATATTGAAATGGGACTTTTTAAAGTAATAAGTATATATCTTGAATTCTTTTCTTTAAGAGGATTTCTTGAATATTTTGTCAGGCGCATTAGTGTTTGAATTTCCTAGGCTGCATTCAGTTATTCATTCAACAAACTATGTTGCAGGTGCAAAGATGCAGAGATGATTAAGTCACAGACTCTGCCCTTAAGTTGCTCACAGTCTGGGGTCAACGGGCAGAGCACTAGTAGACAATTACACAATAGTGTGGTGTGTGCCTCTTATGGATGCTGGTCCTTCCAGCCTGCAGTTGGGACTGGTCAGGGAAGGCTTCCTGGAAGAGGTGGCACCCAAGCTTCAGTTAGACTGCTGACTCAGAACTCAATGTCCTGTAAATTCCCAGCCAAGTCCATAATGCAAAGACAATCTATCTGCCTAACTCCTCTGATCCCCCCAACCCTGGTTTAATGCAGGTGGCCTAAACCTTGAGAAAGGTCTTGAAGGGCACTGCTGCCTGAAGCTACCCCAAAGCCTTCTAGCTTGTCATTAAACACTAAGGAGAAAAAGCCCAAACCACCTTTCACATACATATTTAGAAATTTAGCTCCATTCTTCATTTAAAGGAAATATTGGAAATCTCTTTGTGTTGCTTAAGTTAAAATAGCTGCCTTTAATTGTTCTGTTAGGCTCCTGACACATGTTTTCTCCCTCCTCCTTGGTGTCGTGTTCCTACCATTTCAGAAGTCTTGTCATTACTTTGCTCACGTACTAACCATACATGAGCATTCCAAGAACTGACCCTGGGAGTAAGCACTCTGGAGGATGCTCAAGAAGTATATAAGGGGCACTTGCCAGGCCTGGAGGTTGGGGGAAGGGCAAGAAGAGGTAATCCATAGTCACATACAGGATCATTGCACTAATAGTCACAACTGTTCTAGGGAGGTCACAGGGGGCATATCAGAGGGCGCCAGGGCCTGACCTCAGGGGACTCATACTGGGTCTGTGGAGATGGAGAAGAGAGGGGGCCTCTGGAGGACATGAGCACATGAGTTTGGAGTGTTCTTGGATCAGTGCAGGGATGGTCAGCATGGGGCAGGTGAGGTAGAGGCAGGAATGTGCTAAAAGCAAACTGGAAGGGTTTGGCTTTTTCCCAGTGGTGCTATGAAGCCCTTGAGGCACAAAACTGCAAAATGAAGTGGGGTCTTTGGTACTTTCCCTCTTCTTTGATGTCAGTAACCAAGCACTACTGATTCTGAGAATCTTGCATTCTAGGCAGTGGCCACCTTGGAGACCAGAGAGCCTAGCCTTCCCATTTGCCCAGTGAGGAAATAAGCTCCAAAGAACAAGCAGCCCAGGTCTCACAGTCACTGAATGGCAGAGGCAAGGGTGTCTGGCCATCCTGTTGACCAGGACCCAGGCCTGGGCTTCTCTTCCTGGGGCTTGTTTCCCACTAGGAGTCCTGGAGTAAGACATTAGGACATTAGACAGTTCCTAGGAGCCTGTAGGAGAGAGCCATCACACCCTGGGGTCCTCCAACATGTGTGATCTCCAGGGACAGTGCAGTTCTCATAGGGCTTCACCCTCTATCTGGACCCAGGGTCCACACCAAACCAGAACTTGAATAAGAGGAGTTGGTAAGAAAAGAGACAGAGAGGACAGGAAAGAATCAGGTTAAATTGAGCAGACCCGTGTGAGCCACAGGAAGGCCAGGCTAAGAGGATGGAGAGCAGTATTAAATTGGGGAAAAATGAATTTTTTTGTGTGAGTTACTAATCATAGGCTACCTATGGCCCCTAACTTCAGGAAAGCCAAACTTCCTGTCCCACCCAAACTGTGTGGATTGAGAGCAAGGTAGAAAAGGTGGTCCTCAAGAAAATCAGGGAACTATTATTAGAAGGAGGGTGAGGAATAAATGCTGAAAAAGCAAAAACAGTAGATTTTGACAGCAGCCCCTTTGTCCTAACCTGAAGGTTAAAAAGTATAAGCCTGAGATGTTCTCATAGAGTGTGGCCGTGTGCTGGGTATTCTCACTTCTTTCTCTATATTAACTAATTGAGCCTATCTTCAACCCTGTAACACAGGGACTACTATTATTCCCATTTACAGAGGAGGCAATTGAGGCACAGAAAGACTAATTTGTCCACAGTCTTTCAGCTAGTAAGTCCCAGAGCTGGGATCTGAACCCAAGGAGTCTGACTCCAGAACCTGTGTTTTTAATTATTGTGTTAAAAGTGTCTCCCATTTTCCTTCCTTCCTTACTTTTTTTCTCTGTGAAATAAGGATTTGAGGAAGGACCTGATAATGAATGTAATCACCTAGCACAGAATAGTAGCCATCATTTTTTTTGTTATTATTTATTAACAGAGTATGAAAGCATCTGGTGCGTAGTAGACATTCAACGACTGTGAAATAAGACAAAAACATTTGAAGACTAACCAAGACATTTGCCTGGGCTCTAGGGCTGAAAGAAAATCTGCATGATCTTCAGGGGATTAGCCATGGGTATGGAGGAATAGCTGCAGACAGTAAATGTATAAATAGAAATGTCCAGAGACCCATTGAGATGGGGCGAAATGGTGAGATGCTGAATTCTTTAATGACTCCTTTTCTCCTTCCCTTCTTAAGTGCTGCTTAAGTAGAGCTGAGGCCAGACGCGATGCAGCTAAAGTGGCCCTAATCAACTCCCTCTTCAATGAGCTGCCCTCTCGCAGGATCACCAAGGAATTCATTATGGAGAGTGTGCAGGAAGCAGTTGCCTCCACTAGTGTGAGTACCCACCAGGGAAGGGAAAAGCTGGCTATATTGAGAGTACGGAGCCATTTGAATCTTGGGAGATGCTAATGTGAATGAGTTCTTTAAGAATTGTGCAGGTACTGCTGGTGGGAATGTGAATTGGTACAGCCACTATGGAGAACAGTATGGAGGTTCCTTAAAAAACTACAAATAGAACTACCATATGACCCAGCAATCCCACTACTGGGCATATACCCTGAGAAAACCATAATTCAAAAAGAGTCATGTACCAACATGTTCATTGCAGCTCTATTTACAATAGCCAGGAGATGGAAACAACCTAAGTGTCCATCATCAGATGAATGGATAAAGAAGATGTGGCACATATATACAATGGAATATTACTCAGCCATAAAAAGAAACTAAATTGAGCTATTTGTAATGAGGTGGATGGACCTAGAGTCTGTCATACAGAGTGAAGTAAGTCAGAAAGAGAAAGACAAATACCATATGCTAACACATATATATGGAATTTAAGAAAAAAAAAAGGTCATGAAGAACCTAGGGGTAAGACGGGAATAAAGACACAGACCTACTAGAGAATGGACTTGAGGATATGGGGAGGGGGAAGGGTAAGCTGTGACAAAGCGAGAGAGTGGCATGGACATATATACACTACCAAATGTAAGGTAGATAGCTAGTGGGAAGCAGCTGCATAGCACAGGGAGATCAGCTCGGTGCTTTGTGACCACCTAGAGGGGTGGGATAGGGAGGGTGGGAGGGAGGGAGACGCAAGAAGGAAGAGATATGGGAACATATGTATATGTGTAACTGATTCACTTTGTTATAAGGCAGAAACTAACACACCACTGTAAAGCAATTATACTCCAATAAAGATGTAAAAAAAAAAAAGAATTGTGCAGGTTTTGGGCTTCCCTGGTGGCACAGTGGTTAAGAATCCACCTGCCAATGCAGGGGACACAGGCTCAATCCCTGGCCTGGGAAGATCCCACATGCCACAGAGCAACTAAGCCTGTGCGCCACAACTACTGAGCCTGCGCACCACAACTACTGAGCCCACGTGCCACAACTACTGAAGCCCCCGTGCCTAGAGCCCGTGCTCTGCAACAAGAGAAGCCACCGCAATGAGAAGCCTGCACACTGCAACGAAGAGTAGCCCGCCGCTCGCCGCAACTAGAAAAAGCCCACGTGCAGCAACGAAGACCCAACGCAGCCAAAAATAAATTAATTTAAAAAAGAATTGTGCAGGTTTTATCTTTAACCCATTAAATCATTAATTTTCAGCAGAAAGAACACTTGGACTGGAAATCATGAAATTGGAGGTGGCTCCCTATTCCATGTCTCAGTAATATTCCTTAGCCTCCCTGGATTAATCACAATTAATCAAGCTTTAAATCAAGGTGGATCAAATTATCCACCTTGATTTGTTTATTTGAATGTTTGCTGTTTTAGGAGCATAGATTCTTGTAGGGCCTGAGAACGCATGCCATTGAATACTGCTTTAACCTAGAGATAAAGAAGCTCAATTTTTCCCAAACTTGACGAATCATAAAAATTATCTGAAGTGCTTATTAAAAGTGCCAATTTCCCAGCCAGTGTGAGGTCCTTCAATCTATGTTTTTAAGGAAACAGACTGCTTCGATATGGGAAAAGCCATATGCCCAATATTTGTTAGCTGTTAGAATTACCATGCTTAATATCAACTACTTTTTTCAGAGAGCTTTGGAAATCTCTGTAATGGATGTAATTAAATACAAAGTGCTTTGAGAGCCAAAAACTCTGTCTTAGAAATTTAGATAGGACATTTTCTCGGCAGTCTAGGAGTACAGTAGATGATTTGCCCCATGAATTTTTGGTGCTTTTGATCCTCGTACCTCCAAATTATAAACCATTTTAACCATGGAGGAAACCTTGGGTCTCAACTGGGGCAGGTGTCGCCCTGTGTGTCCTTCAAGTGCAGAAACTTGGCATTACCAAAGGGATTAGCCACCTCCTAGCTTCGCCTTTAGCATGGATCAACGCCATCTGAGATTTTCATTCTCTGATTCCCTTAATCTGACTATAAAGGTTCTGTCATTCTGGAGAAGCTACTGATAATGAAGGTGACATTATCACACTAGCTGTGACCTTTTTGCTGCTTTCCCCCCTCATAAATGCTCTTATCATGCAGAAGAGAGATAAGGGGAGAGGCGGGGACTGAGAGTGGTTGTCCTGGCAGGGAGACCTCAGGGAGCTCTGGTCTATATCTGCTCTGAGGATGAAAGGAAGCCTTTATTTTCCTGCCCTGTAAATTTCAAGTGCCTTTGAGGAAGAGAAGTTAGGAAAATGATGCCTGATTTATATGTGTGGAATTTACTCAGGAGCAGGGAGGTGCCCTCAGTGTAAATGTAATTTATCATTTTTTCATGGAAATTTCTAAGGAAGGAGAATATATATGGTTTGCAGGCTTCTGGATGGATTTCCTCTGGGATATTTAAAAAGCCAACATAAATATTTCAGCAGTAGTGTGTTAATGTTATTGCATTCAAAAGCTATAAATTTGCTGCTATCTGATGCGGGCAGTTGTTTGTTCAGTCTCACAAAGCCGTTGCCCACCTTCCCAGGAATCCAAGGCCATGGGATATTGAAGCGCAGGCCCCAATGCCATTCCTGAGTTCATGTCAGCTTCTTTAATGCCACTCCCCCTAACCAAATTGAAGGGGAATTTCATTTCTTCCCATCACTCACCCACCTTGTTTCCTAAAGATTAAGTGGTCCAAAAGTGAAAAACTACAAACCAAAATCCATGTCTCCAGGCCGAACACCAGCATATTATGAAAAACTCCCATTAAGAATCATGGGGGTGGGCTTCTCTGGTGGCGCAGTGGTTGGGAGTCTGCCTGCTGATGCAGGGGACACGGGTTTGTGCCCCAGTCCGGGAGGATCTCACATGCCGCGGAGTGGCTGGGCCCGTGGGCCATGGCCACTGGGCCTGTGCGTCCGGAGCCTGTGCTCCGCAAGGGGAGGGGCCATGGCAGTGAGAAGCCCGCGTACCACAAAAAAAAAAAAAAAAGAATCATGGTGGTAAAATATGAATGGTCCATACAACTGGAGATTTTTTCCCTGTTAGTTACATAATTTGCTTGGTGACCACTGGAATCTTACAGAGCAAGTCAGCATTTCAAGATTTCGATAATGGATGAAAGCAGCCTTGGAGAACAACTGCTCAAACATTAATGCCACCACAAACAAAAACTCTGTGGAGAGATACAGGAATTTCTGCTTTGGGATACTTATTCTTTTTGAGTATATAATCAGTTAACATTCTAATCAAAAGCTAGATTCAAGTTGATTACAAAATCCTCTTAACTATGAGTGATGGTGAGAGTAAGGATTTTATCCCAAATCAACTGGAGATGGTTGTAGTGTTGTAGGATGCACCCCTTTAGGATTAGGACAATAGAAGGCTCACTGTGAGGCCACAGAATTAATTCATGACCACCCAAAGAAGAGGAGGAAAAACCCACGATATTTTCCTTTTCTGCTTACTTCCCAAGGGCACTTTGGATGACGCGGACGACCCCAGCACCAGCATTGGAGCCTACCACTACATGCTGGAGTCAAACATGGGGAAGACCATGCTGGAATTTCAGGTACCTGCTTCCTTCCACATATTTGTTTTGCTATACAACCCCCAGAAGCCTGGGGGAATGCCACTCATCACTAACGGCCCCCGTCCCAATAATCTACTCTGTTTTTGTTTTGGTCATTTTAATTGAACCCTGCTAGAATCCAGCACTGTGCTCCCTTTTAGCCGTACCTCAGGAGGCTAAAACAAAAAAGCAAACAGGCACAATCTTTGCTTTCTTAAAGGAAAGTAAAAGACTTAAGCTAAGAAACAGGCGGGGAACATTACAGTCTTATGACCCTATTAACATTTTACCAGCTTTTCAGTATAAAGCTCCCCCTTAAACCAAATCAAACAGTTTGAAGTGTTGGTTGTGACCATTTGGTTCTTAATTTTCAGAAGTCATGGATGAAGGTGCCTGCAATGTATATTAAACAATTTTCCCCTCAGTTATGGTATTTCTGTTAAACAAGACTGCCATCTCCTATTGTTAACTAAATCAAAACATTTAGCAACCTGTAACCCTTTTCATTCCACTGCTGACAAGCAATAATAGAGCTGAGGAACTATATTACCTGTTATTTGCAAATTAAATAATGATATTAATAGCAATAAGAATAATAATAGCTAACGCTCATTGGATGCTTGCTTTGGCGTTGTGCTAAGCATTTAACAAATCTTACCGCAATTTAACCCTCACAATAAACATGTGAGTATTTCTTATTGCCATGTCTTCATTGAAGGAAGTGTGTCATACAGCTTAGCAAATGGCACAGCCAGGGTTCAGACCCAGGCAGTCTGATTTCTGAATTCACACTCCTATTATCCTATATTGGGCTGGGCAGACAAAACTTCAGAAGTTATTGAGAATGCAAAGTGCACTCTCTAAAATATTAAACACGAATACAGTTGACCATCCATATACATCAATGCCAGTAGGAATCAATATGCAATGTTATAATGAGGAGACTTTACCCGCCAAGATTTCTATTTTTTTAGGTTAGATTCCAAGAAGCAGTCAGAATATAAAGTTTTATGGACACAAAATGTTCATCATGGTATAATTTACAGTGGTGTTACAGCTGAATCCTGAAGCCACCACCTTCCAAATACCATCTTTGGTACCTTTCAAACTCTTTTCCTGACTACAATGGCATAGCCACTTCTCAGGTGGATATGTCCCACCTGCCCATTTTTAAAAACCAGTAATTTTCCTCATCACTCTCTCATTTGATTGACACAAAATACTCTTTCTTCACCCTGCCCTAGGAAGAGCTCAGTCATCCAGGTTTCTCCTTAAGCGGTTGTGGTCTCCCTGACCTTTGATGTTGTTTGTCTTTGTTTGGAAGAGACCCTGAAGCTCACCTTCTGGTGTAGACAGGGGCATGCAGCAGCTCAGTGGTTCTGAGCCCAGGCTTGGGAGTGGGCTCAGCTGCTCATCTCTAAATCTGTTTCCTCGTTTGTACGTAAATCAGGAAGAATAATAGTAGCAATAATAGTAGTGGTGCTACCTCACTGTGCTATTGTGAAGACTAAATGGGACCACATAGAAAGTCCAGAACAGTTCCTGGCATATGGTTAATGCTCAGTGAAAGCTGAGAACTGTTATTATATATATTTCTGAAGAAGGACTGCTTCATTTGAAATGCCAGAAGCTACCAGATGGATTCCCTTGACAACTTTATTTAACCTAAAGGCTTTACAATGAGGACAAGGTAGCTCCCCTGCATTAAATGTTTCAGGGCCCTTGCTATAGAATAAAAGAGTGGAACTGTCAAGGGTTTTTTTTTTTTTTTTTTAATCTTCCATAACAATCTAAAGTCAAACAGAGAAAAAAAATAAAAGGAAAGAGCATGACACAAGAGAAGGGACACAAACTTTAAAAAACCATACAGACCTACATGTAAAGCCTGTGCTACCACTTGCCACCTGTGAGCTTAACCGTTCTGAGACTCAGTTTTCCCATCTACAAAATAAGCATCACGATACCCATTGTGTAGGCTTTTTGTGGGGCGTATATAATATGACATTTATAAAACATTTAGCATGGTGATTCCCGAAGGAAGAATCTCATTTATGTTAATTCCTCCCCCCTCAACCCTGACAGAAGAATATTGTACTTCTTTTATTATACAATGAATGTTGCCTGGCCCAGTACATAATAGCTTGTATAGGATTTAGTAGCTATTTTCAGAAAAATCAAGAATGATTTTTTAACACAGTGGGTTAGTCTGCCAAATATAGGGAAGGCAAGATTTTTTTTAAAAAATTCTTAAAATTCTGTCCAAGTACTATGAAAGGCTGTACTCAACCATCTTTTAGTAATACTTTAATTGCCTTGCTACGGGCTGCATGTTTTCTGTGTGGTCTGTGTAGTAAGGTATTTAAATACATGAAATAATAATTTGAATCATACTGTGGAAATGCTTCATAAATTCTCAAAATGGAGGCTGGGTGCTGGATGAGGGACAAAGGAAGAGGAAGATGTGAAGGCAGGAAAAATCCAAACTCCCTCCTCCCAGTAGGGATTCTGGCAACCTAGGAGGAGGGCCATGAAGCACATCCCTCTTCCTTCCGCCAGCTCCAGGTTGCCTGCTGGGTTCCTACACATTCCTTGGTGGCCTGGGTTAAATGCATCAGCTTGTTTCTGCACATAATGGGAATTGACCACAGACCTGGGCTGTTTGCAGTCAACACAGCAATTCAGTACCCCTGGTGGGTAATAGATGTGTGTTTGTATCTAGCTATGGATGACTATACGGTATAAAAACAAGACTGGTGTCTCCTGACTGCCTGCAGGTTTTCAGGGGGGCCATCGAGGAGGCAGAGCTCAGAGGAAACATGATATATGCTTCTGCTTACCTTCACTTCGTGGGAGGGAGGCTGGGATGCCTGTTTAAGGTAGCCTTGCCCCTCCCCATAGAGAAAACTGCCTGATGTTTGGGGGGTGGGATGGCCACTGGGTCTTGTCAAGGTCAGATTCAAGGCAGACTTTGACTGAAGCTGGTTAATATATTTATTCTGAAGCCTAATGCAGTCCAAAGACGAGTTGTTTATTTACATCTTTGCTAAATTCTCCAGGTCGCCTTTTAAAACCTCATCCCATAAACAAATTTCCTCTTAAATCTATTCTCTTGGGTGGGGAGATTGTGCCCACCTGTTTTTCAAGTTCTCCATTTACACTGTTTGTTTTTCTTATTTCTGATGAATCACAGAACCAAGCCAGTCTCCCAGACAGAGTTCCAGAGAGAAGCAGTGTACATTTTCTCCCCGGGGAGTAGCTGGGAGGCCAAACATTGTTTCTCATAGGAGGCAACACTAGGAAGCACTGTGAGGACAGAGCCCGGTTGTTGTTGGTTTAAATTTAATGAATGACAAAATGAACCAGAAAAGCTGTAGAATGAAAGCTACAACTGCAATTTCCTTGGAGAGAAAGAAAACACAGGGCTTGATTCACCATTCGATTTTAAATTTACTTTGCTGAAGGGGACTGGCTACATAATTTATGGGGCCAGTGCAGAATGAAAGTTCAGGGCCTTTTACTCAAAAATTACTAAGAATTTCAAGAGTACGGCGCACTAAACCAAGCTCAGAGCCTCTGTGCACAGATCACAAGCTCGTGAAGCCAGCCTTGTCCCTGAGACAAATCCCCAGAAGGGCCCAGGCTAGGGTAAGAAGAGTTAGGCATTGAACTCGGGTACAAAATTTAAAGGAGCGTCAAAAAATTCAGTAATCAAGGCAACTAATATTATAATGCAGTATTTTAAAAACTCAAAATAAATGTGCAAAACTTCATAACAAACAAAACATCCAAATTTTAAATAAAGACAGAATTTTAAATAAAAGACCCTGAACTTGTACGATGTACCTTAAATCTTGCTTGACTCACCTCACCCTAGTCCCAGCCCTACCTCTAGGCCAGCTTCTTGTTTATCTGTCAGCCCACCCAGTTGACTCAGGCTTCTAGATCAGCCCACGTAACAAACACAGTACAGACTTCAGTGAGGAAGGAGCAGGACAGGTAGATCACCAAACAGACTTCCTTCAAAGTGATAGGGCTTCTACAGGTAGAAAATGAGGCTGTGAAGACCAGACAGTGAAGAGTCATGGTGAAACGATGAAACGAATCCTCACAGAAGTCCCTGGCTACCCTCTCCTTGCCGCTCTGCCATAATGCAAGGATTTCCAATGGAATCAATGTGAGGCACACAAGAATTTCCTGGGGTTGAGCCCAGGACTCATACAGCTTCAGGAAGATCTGAAGATAGTGAACTTGGTCATATGAGGGGAAATAAAGAGGTGGGACAGGAAGAATGTGGAAATATTTCAATATACTTTATATGACGATGGTGAGAGTCATTATCTCCAGAGAGGAGAGCAAGAACTAGATCAGGACATAAGGTAAGAAGGCAGACAGAAGGTTATCTTTCCTGGGGGATTTTAGGAACAAGAGCAACAATGAAGAAGAGGCAGTTGTATTACTGCAGAGGGAAAAACTGCTTGGTGGTAGAATAGGAATTTGGGGAATAAGGAGGAGGATGATTCTCTTCTTGCAGGCAGAAACAGTTCAGGTCTCTGTGGGGAAGTTTTTGAGAGATGTAGGTTGCCAAGGCACATGGGAAAGATTTCTGGTTCTGTTCACAGAATTGTGGGTTCTGAAGTCTTAGGAGAACTGCTGAGTGGCATGAAAGAAATTTATCTGGATGGGGGGGCTTAGTGCACAGATAAGAATAAGAGCTGAGAGGACATTGGGAGAAAAATATATTACTAAGGCAACAGTCGTCAGAGGATGGAATTAAGAGCTCTGTTGGCAATAGGTTGTTTCTCAGACTGGGCCACAAGGATGCAAGGACGATGCCAAGAGGGCTATTGGAAGCCACAGAATAAATTCAATATATCTTTCTGGGTTGTCAGCTTTACATGAAGATTGCAGGGTGGGGAAAGGAGTGGAGTCGTGTTTATTTTCTTCTTTTAAAAAAATGCGCAAACAATAGAATACAAAATTTAAGTGGAGTCTTAAGATAAAACATAAGACAATATGTCTTATTTGTAAATATTGTCCCTCCTGTAACACGGTAGAGACTATTCCATATCAGAACCAAAAGCGCATTCCTATTCATTTTTATGGCTGCAAAGCATTCACTGAGTAGGCTTGAGGGTACGGTAAGAAGGGCAGCACAAATTTATCTTCCTCAGTTACTGGGGTTACTTTTTTTTTTTTTTTTTTTTGCGGTACACGGGCCTCTCACTGCTGCGGCCTCTCCCGTTGCAGAACACTGGCTCCGGACGCGCAGGCTCAGCGGCCATGGCTCACGGGCCCAGCCGCTCCGCGGCACGTGGGATCCTCCTGGACCGGGGCACGATCCCGTGTACCCTGCATCGGCAGGCAGACTCTCAACCACTGCGCCACCAGGGAAGCCCCAGTAGGGTTACTTTGATAAGAAGCATAGTGGTGAGATCCAGATTAGGCAAGATTTGGTTATGGAACAAACCACTCTCACTTTTCCAAATTAGCATAAGAGGGGTGGGTTACCCAGACACTGGACCTAGGACCCTGGGCAGACGGTGGGGTCAGTGTTTGGGGCAGGAGGCGTAGCTCAGCTGGTGTCCATGTCATATTTTAATTAATGGAAACACATGGTTTTGCTTTTACTAAGGTCTCTGTGGGTTCTTGGGGTGCTTACTGTGCAGTAGTACATACACAAAATCCCAAACTCTATCCCAAACTGAAAAGAAGAAAAGCATGACATTCTAATGGCAGTTTTAGACGTGAGAATAGTGCTATTTTTTCTGATGATCTTATCACTTTAAATTTTACCTCATGGGCTTCCCTGGTGGCGCAGTGGTTGAGAATCCGCCTGCCGATGCAGGGGACACGGGTTCGTGCCCCGGTCCGGGAAGATCCCACATGCCGTGGAGCAGCTGGGTCCGTGACCCATGGCTGCTGAGCCTGTGCGTCCGGAGCCTGTGCTCCGCAACGGGAGAGGCCACAACAGTGAGAGGCCCGCGTACCACAAAAAAAAAAAAAAAAAAAAAAAAATTACCTCATAATTTTAAGATAACTGGAATCTCAGAGTGACTTTGTGTCTCCTGATTTTCACAGTGAAAGCGTTTTCCAGAGCAAGCAGACGTAAAGACAATAGAAGTCCACTTTTTTTGAATGGGCATAAGACATCTGTCTAAATGTTAAGTTTCCATAACTAGCTTCATGACCAGGAAGTTCCTTAATTGTATTGTTATTTTCTAACAATTATGTAGTTGTGGTTTGTACTACTAATCCACAGTAGTTGTTTCTCTGGTCAAAAAAGAAAAAAAAATGCAGGTAACTTCAATGGAAGACTGCGAATCCTAATACGATTAGGAAAATAAAATCTTCAGTATGTTGAATACACATTAGCTTGCCCTGGGTATCATGCAGGGAAAGGATGATGCTGATAGAAAGGCTTAATGCTGTGCTCAGCCCTAGCCATTGAATGTGAAAACTATGGGTGAGTTTTAATGTCAGTTCAACCTTATTGTCCATATTTTAAGGCATTTTCTTGACTGAATTTATAAACTTAGGGGTTTTTTACAATTTCTGTAGTTTGTCCATTATATGTTTGTCCAATATATTTAAATTGTTTTCCTTAATACGTAATATTGTCGCATGATTCAAAAGGTGCAAAGAATGTCAGAGAAAGGTCTCCTTCCTTTTTTCTCCCCAGAGGCAACTCATGTTACCAGATTCTTTTGTATCTTGCCAGAACTCTTCTAGGCGTTTATAAGCGAATGTTTATAGGCATCTCCTATTCTTTTTAATCAAATAGTAGCACACAGTGTACATGTTGGACACTTTGCTTTTAACTTAACAACACCTCATAGAGACTCTTTATATTAGAACTAGAGAGCCTTCTCATGCTTTGTGATTGCAGCATATCTGGTAGGATGAATGTGTTGTAGGGAGGAAGAATCATTTTCCTTCTCCCCTTCTGAGTTCTTAGCTGAGGCCCCTGTAATAAAAGACAGATGAAGAAGAGAAAAACAGAAGTACACTTCATGTTCATGTGAGAGGTACCCAGGGAAAAATGAGTACCTCCACAGGGTGGCTTAGAATTCAGGATTGAATACCATCTTAATAGGGAAAGGGGAGAGGGGATATAGGCCTCTCAGGCCTTAAATAATCTTTAAGAAAGATGAATGGGCCCTCAGAAGAATAGATGGGAGCTATGATACTTTGTGACAAAGTTTGTCTGGGTGTGGAATGGACTTTAGTTTCTACTTCTGTGATAAGAGTCAATCTTCCCTGGTTGATGCAACTCCTGGGGAGGGGATTTATGACAATTGTGTTCCTTTTGGAGGATCTATCTTTAGGCAGATAAGGGGAGTTCAGAGAAAGCCTCTTTGCAGTTTTTAAAGTATTTACAGCTCAAAATAATCAATATACCCAAGTGGCGTATTTGGGGGTGCCGTATGCTGCTACACTTTAGGATGATATTTTATTTAACCATTCCTTTAAAAATGAACATTTAAAATATTCCCAGTCTTGGGCAATTTTAAAAAGTGATGCAATGAATAGCCTTGCCTGTACATTATTATAAGATGTGCTGGTATATTTACATAATTTCTTCGGTGTATAATTGTTAGAGCATATGTATTTTTAATGTTGAAAGGTATTTTATTTAATAATTTGTGCCAAATAGCAAGGTAGGGAAGGAAAAATGCTCCGAAAGCCTAGGACTGTGGTATTTGAAAAGTCTCAAAGTGTTCTGGCTGTACTGTATATTCTATTTCCCAAATATAGTTGGGGATCAGAGTTATGCCCTGCTCAGCAATCACTGAGGCACTTTCCTTCCCATTTCTGCTTTGAGACTAATGACAGGTATTTGGGTTTTATAGGAGCTTATGACCATTTTCCAACTATTGCACTGGAATGGAAGCCTAAAAGCCCTTCGTGAAACAAAGTGTTCCCGACAGGTGAGATTTTCCAGTAAAAACAGGTTTGCATTGTATGGACTGAGCAGATGGCTTGTCATCTTCCAGGATATGTATCAGTCCAGTTGCATCAGGGACTGACCAAAAATGCACTCAGAAGAACGTTGGCTGGGCATAGGCCTGATTTAGGTACCTGTACTGAATGCCAGAATGAAGGGATCATTAAGACAGACTTAGTTTCTAAGTCAAATACTGAATCTACTCTATGCACCTGTCCTGCCTGCTGAATGTGTGCCCTCTCCCACTCTTCAAGGCAGAAAGAAACGTGAGTCTGCACTGCTTCTGAACCTCCTCACTGAGACCAGGTAGAGTCGGTTGTGTAGCAGGAGGATTTTTCTCATCCTCACCAAATGTCCTTAAGGGACAACAGAAATGATTGTAAAGGTGGACAACCTGGTATTTCAGTCGCTCCTGTTTTTTGGTTTGGAAGTTTCTTCTTTATTTTTCAGAGACAGGGTCTCACTATTTCTTTGCTACCTATAAAAAGCACCCTTCTCCCTTTTTTTAGTAGCAAAGACAACCCCCTCTCCCATGCACTTAACGGTTCTCACCTACTGTCCCTCAAGATTTATTCTTCCTTTACCCCATTAGACTTTGAAGATGGTAGTTTGTTTTGAGAGTTTGCTAACAGGAATTTGTATGAGAAACAGAGCCTTTGCTAGTCAGCAATATGAGAGTGGATGTAGGAGTTTTCCATGCACTGCAGCCCCAGGAGTTTTTAGTTGTTCTTTGCTTAGAAAGCCTGGCTTTCAAAATGTCAAAGATGGAAAAGAAATGAGTAGCTGACAATGGCTTTGGCTGTTTTTTTCTTTTCCTTTGATTTAATAAAAAGCCTTTGAAATATGCCGGGTTAGTTATAAACACTTTTCCATGATTGTTTTTAATTTGTTAAGGTCATAAATAAATACCATATGTTCTTGAAAATAAAAGTAAACAATGCATCCACTCCACAAGATCTTCTTAAAGTGCATCCATCAAACTTATACATGATGTTACAATGTATTGGCAAATTTTAAACATGAGAATTGACAGATAGTGACAAATTTTTAATTATTTGGAGAAAGTGAGAGACAACGTACATGAAGGTACCATTATGATATCAATGATGATAATACCTATATTCCATAATACATTTTTAAAGTTCCTCCCATAGTCTCTGTGAGCCATTCAGTCTGTCATCTTCCTTATGCTAACAACATAGCAGTTAGGAAGTTGATTCTCCTGGTGTCTAAGTCTTGTCCAGATTCAAAGCTCCCTGCTTTCTGCAATGGGTGTGACCAAACCCAGTTCTGTCCGAATCCTTCCATATAATTGTTTCCCTTTTTATCTTGCCAAAGGAGATAATGCTGAGCAGAAGAGTTCGGTGAATGAGATAATGTTCATACCAATTGTTATAGGAATGCATTTTCAAAGGAAGACATATTTTCTAGCAAGGTCAGAGCTCTGTTCTGTGAACGTTATTGGGTCATTCCTGGTGGTAGTGTTTTGATTCAACCTGGAGTGACCCTACTTTGTGTACCAGCTTAGCCCTCTATTTCCTTTAAGAGATATGTCCTGTGATTTGGCTTCAGTTTGTGAACATCAGAGAGGTTTGGTTATTGGTAGAACCCCTGGGGGTGTGGTGGGAGTAGTGGAGGCACAGGAAAGGAGGCGTCAGAAGGCCATGAGCCCAGGTACCTTTGTTGCTCTTTACTGACACTCTGGACTTTGTTTCTTGGCTCCCAGGAAGTCATCTCCTACTATTCCCAGTATTCCCTAGATGAAAAGATGCGCAGCCACATGGCCCTGGACTGGATCATGAAGGAGCGGGAGTCACCAGGAATTCTCTCCCAAGAGCTACGAATGGCCCTGAGGGAGTTGGAGGAAGCCAGGAAAGCAGGACAAGAACTACGTTTTTACAAAGAAAAGAAAGAAATCCTGAGTTTAGCCCTGACTCAGATCTACAGTGATCCTGACACTTCCTCACCCAGTGATGATCAGTTGAGCCTCACGGCCCTTTGCAGCTATCACTAACAAGGCCAGGTCCCAGCTGCCCCCAAGGCAGGCAGAGGCCGGACTGTAACATTAGGAAGCTCATAGAAGGTCATCAGAGGCTTTAGCAGCTATAGATGCTGCCTGAAGACTGTACTAATTCTCCCCACCCATTCCATTCATAGAATCTCAGAGTAGGAGGACCCTTATAGGACCCAACATGTCACTCAATACAATTTTCCCATCACACTCTCGATAGTTCCACCTCAGACTGAAAGGATGGAGACAGGATTGCTTGAAAAATATTTTCCAGGCCTGGCTTTAACCTGAAGCCTTGTTGACATGTGCCTTGCTAGATTATATATGTTGTTTAAAAGAATGGGTCAATGTAGCATCCCCGAAAAGAACACCAGCCAGGACTGGGGAAAATAGCATGATAGCAATTAAAAAATACTTGGGATTAAATAAACAATATGGATACTTTTAAAAAATATACAGGGGTCAGAGTTTCTTCCTAAACTTTGTAAGCTACAAGATCACTTACACTCTACTAGGTGTAATCCAAAACTTCAGTGAGAATTTTATCTGGACATCCCACTATCAAAGATTTTGAACTGGTAATAGTATGAAAATACTATATAAATGTAATGTGGCTTAAAATGTCATAGTAATAAATTTTTTTTTCAATCCACTCTTCCATATGGGGATAAATATCACCCAGGATAGTACCCTCACTTGTATTCCTCAAGAAGAAAATTAATATCCAATTTTTATGAGTCCTGCAATCAGTCATATTCATTTTCAATCTACAAATAGATTAATTGATTCATTTTTATTTCTGCCACTTCTGTCATATATCTATAATGGAGAAAGTTACTGTCATTTCAAAGGTTAAAATATTTTGAAAAATCATTAGCATTTAACAATGCTTATATTCACATTTGATTTGTTTCTCATGCATTAGAGCAAAGGAATTATTAGCTGTCTTTGTTATTGTTCAAGAACTTAAGCCACCAGTAGCTCAAACATAGTGTCATTTTTCAGTTTAAATTACTGGAATCTTCTTTAAAGAAGGGATAAAACATTGCCATCTCTTTTTCAAAATGGCTCGGATCAATCAACAGATTAGAAACCAAAAGCAAATACAAACCAATTTTTAGATGGTTCCTGGTCACTCAGATTTAAGAATGGCAGCAGTGTCAATTTTAAACACTTACAAGTATTTCCCTATTTTTACATGGAAAGGATTATCTTGCATTTACTCCAATAATTCAAATTTAAGAAAACGGTTTTCTCAATTTTAAATAAGGTTTCTTTTTCTTCTTGTTTAGGCAAATGCACATTAAGTTTCATGAAAGCTAAAACCATTATAATTACATTAAAGTTTACAAAAATGTGAGTTTAGCTTCATATCTAAATATCTGCAGTGCTAATTGTCACTCCTTGAATCCCCATAAAACTGTATACTGAGTACTATATACTGAACATATATTTTGGAATTAACCTTGTTAATAAAAAATTAACTTCATACATTATATTTTTCACATCAGGGGAAAATTTAGCTATATATCTGCCCTACTCAAATGTCTTGAAAAAGTAATGCTATATAATATTAGATAAATTTTATTTAAAATATTGTTTTAACAAAAAAATCACATTTCTCCCCATAATGAGGCTAAACGTCACCTAGAAGAAATTTCCGAATAGGAATTAGAATTAATATTTATAATTTGAATAAATTTTAAAATTAAATTACTTCCTATTTAAAGTAATTTTTTCATAAAGTCATTACTCGTTATCATTTCAGAAAAGCCACAACTTCCCATGTTGGGTGTGATTAAAGGTAGGTACCTCTGTACTGCATTTGCAGCCTTTAACAATGACCAACTCAAGCTGACACCATCTAATTACACGCAGGAACAGGAATCAGCTGGGAAAATATTAAATGTATTCTCTGCCCTGCAATTAGAAAACTGTACCCATTCTGTACACTGAAAGCAGAGGTTCTGTCTTGGCCACTATCAGTTTTCCTGGCTGGTCAAAACTGCCTACTCTTCCTGCAATGGTAGGGAAGTTTCAGCAAAAGAAGCAAAAGTCAGAATCTTTGCCACTGCTGCTCCCTTTGATGCTCATTTATCACAAATCAGTTTCAGCTAAGACCTAATGGCTGTCAGTACATCACATAAATGTCTATAATCCTGGCCCTGAGAAGAGCAGGGTTGAAGAGCAAAGCAGGTTATTATTATTTTTCAATTTCTATGTCTTGTTCTCAATAGCACACTGTGTTGGAGGGGCCTAGAGTGGAGGATTCTCTATCTAAATATATGGAGCTATGTGTCTTAACCTTTTGTGGTTATAAACCCTTTGAGAATCTGATAGAAGCTATGGGCCTTCTCCTAGGAAAATAGAACGAAGCATATACACACAAAATTACACAAACTGCTTCAGAGCGTATGTGGACCTCCCCAAAATCCATACATTGCTCTGTCCAAGGACCCCCAGTTTAGAACTCTTAAGTTTGAGCACATACTTACAGTTTCTTAAGCTTTTCAGCAGGGATCCAACTAACTCAGACATCGTCCCATTAACCTATCTCTAAGATAAATGTCATCATCCTGAAATACAGAATTGCACTGTATTTTGACAAGAGATAGTTTAATTCTCACAAAACCCCAATACACCAGATTGTTATGAAAAAAACAGCTTGAAGCAAACTAGTCACTAAATTTGTGTGAACATGTTAGAATATTACAGATTTAATAAAGTCATTGTTCCTCTCATGATCAGAATTTGGCTGTCTATTTGTTCAAAAGATATAGTCCATTGATATGTTTGCTGTTAAATTCATTCACCTATTTCTAGAAAATGAAAAGAATCAAGCCATAGATAGTCCTGAAATGCTGTACCTACATCAACGATGAATCTGGTCAGCTAGGTCTCAGGACAAAGAGAAAACATAAAGGTTTAACACCTTTCGGTTTCTTTAGGGAAAGCTTTTGAAGTCAGGAGTATTGTTGTAGTTGACTTTATCTCTGAAATGCTTCACAGAGTTCTCCGTTATATCATGCCATGCCTTTCTTTCTTGCCAAAGGACAAAAGAAGCCAGACTAAGAATATTTTTATTATCCTTGACTATGTTTACAGGTAAACACTATTCAAGACATTATCTATTATATATTGTTGGTGTTTTGTTTTTTTTTACCTTGCAGAAATGCAAATATCAATCTTTCTTCTATGGTGTCCACCATGTTAAAGAGCGAATATTGAGATTGTTTTTAGCCAGGGTTCCAGGAAAATGAAAATTATTTTCCCTACTACAGTGGTTTTCTTTGGCTGCCCATTAGAAATATCCAAAGAGCTTTAAAAGATCCTAACTGGGGCTTCCCTGGTGGCGCAGTGGTTGAGGGTCCGCCTGCCGATGCAGGGGACACGAGTTCGTGCCCCGGTCCAGGAGGATCCCACATGCCACGGAGCAGCTGGGCCCGTGAGCCATGGCCACTGAGCCTGTGTATCCGGTGCCTGTGCTCCGCAATGGGAGAGGCCACAGCAGTGAGAGGCCCGCGTATCGCAAAAAAAAAAAAAAAGATCCCAACTGTCCAGACTGCATCCAGACAAATGAAATCAGACTTTCTGGAAGTGGGACCCAGGCATCAGTATTTTTTAAAGCTCCCCAGGTAGTTCGAATGTACAACAAGGTTGAGAACCACTGCTCTACCCAGGAAGTTCTGGCTCAGAGGTCTATGGCCTAACTAGTGGGAGCTGTTACTTAACTTGGCATTGGCTCCAAATTCAAAATGTTGAGCTCTTCTGATTCAGGTAGGAGCAAAACCTTTTGCTTGAGCAAGAGGCTTTCCTGGAGCCCAGAACTAAAGCAGAGCAAGCATGCATGTGCGTGCACAAACACACACACCTTAGCAGGAGAGCCAGATTCTGCTCCGGGGTCCAGGCTTTCTTTCACAAATATATACAAACTAACTGCCCCAGAATCATCCTTTAAAAGTACAAGTTCCTGGGCCACACCCAGACCTGCTGGCCAAATTCCAGGAGAGAGTCTGGATTATTTACCACTCCACCAGGTGTTTCTGATCACACTTAAATTTGAGTTATTTTGGCCTAGAGCTACCTAGCACATTCTTTTGTAGGCAGCACAGCCCTGGCCTTCTGATATAACTAGCCTCTTGGCAGAGAGAGCACAGAAAGGAATAAAGGGGAGAGGGAAAGGTTGCCTCTTTACCCCTCCTGGAAGCTAGAGAAAAGCAGAAGGGGCAGATACATAGCTGCCTTTTCTCTCCCAAAAGAGCTCCCACTCTTTTTATCACTTTGGCTCCAACATTTGGAATTACTTTTAATCTCTTTACTAGAAACCGTGAAAATCTCTATTAGCCCATGGTTAAAGTCACTTCTTTAAACCTGACTAAACCCTGGTAGCACTTTTCTTCGTTGGAGCAAAGTAGGTTGTGGGAAAGGGAAGCAGAAGCTTCTTCCTGCGAGCTGATGATTCTCTAGTGATTGTTGGTTTTCAGGTGAAAGTCCCAAATTGCTATCTATTTTTAGGCAGTTCCCAATTTTAGCAGCAATTACGTGTCACAAGTCCATTTGTAAGTCAGTTAGTTGTTCAATCCTGAGGATGCATTCTATAGGAGCAAGGTCATAAATGGTGGCCAGTTTCCTAGACTAGCTTGTATAAACAATAGGGTACCTTAAATATTGATTTATATGGGACCTAATATGCTCTAGGTTGTGGGCGGGGGAGAATAGAATAAGGGGCAGCTGTGGGTCTAGGGCATATTATTGTGGACCTACCTCCTGGGGGCATATTCCTTAGTCTCAAACTGGTTCTCCAAATAATCCCCTTATTTTCTCTTTGCCCCCCACCCCAAGATTTAGCTTGATAATACCCCACCCCCTGCCATCACTTGTTGCTTCTTCTGATCATGGTTTCTTCTACTTGCTGACTTACTGAAGAAGGGCTTTTCTCCTGCCTTTCCTACAAATACTTTGAAAATTTCTAAGAATTGGTATCACTAGAAACAGGAACATTGGATGACCTAAAAATGGCAGCTACTAAGCCACTTTGCAGGTCCTGTGGGGAAAGACACAAGCACATGAACCAGGACTGCATTATCATACTCATCCAGGCCCCTAAAGTTTCCTGCTTCTTTGGTGTTCTCATTTGGCTCCACAGGCATTGCCCCATCCTGATCATGGATGTCCCATAGCTAGCCAGTGATTCTGGGTAATCTGGCTCAAAACTACAAACTGGACTGATCAGTCTGTCCCCCTCAGGAATGTGAACTAAGAAACATGGAAGGAATTTGGCAGTTCAAGTTGGGAGCTGAAGTTGGAAGGGTCATGTCCATGAGCGCTGTGCAGGCTGAAGTGATGAGGAAGTAGGAATGATGAGTCAGCAGAGGAAGCTGGTCAGTAGAAAGAGGAGAGGTGGTTGGTGTGGAGAGCAGATGCAAGGAGAGGCAGAAACACAAGTCAAAGGTG